TATATATATATATATATATATATATATATATATATATATATATATATATATTTATTTATTTTTTAAATAAATTGAAATACATTAATCAAATCTTTTAAAGTTCAAAAATATTTTTAAAACATTAATATTTTCATCTAAAATTAACGATAATTTTGTTTTTTAAAGTTTAAAAATATTTTTATTAATTTGTCGTTTTTTAATATATAGTTTAAATTTAATTTTTATTAAGATTGTGTGTGTGCTTTGACAAATGGCAACTGGGGCCCACTAAAAGGACAAAAACAAGTGCAAAAGTCAATATGTGCTTGATTAACCAGAGTTCACAAAGGCCCAAACCCATGGCCCATCATGCCTTTTTTTTTTTTCCTTATTTTCCTTTTTATTTTTATTATCACTTATTTCCCAAGAATAATTAGGGTTAAAATTGTAATTTTCCATACCTTTAAGAGTTTCAACCTCGTTGTCGTTATCGTTAACGGATGTTTTGGGTCGATGAGACGACGGTCAAATTTATGTTAGAATGAGATAAAATGATTTTAATTTAATGATTTGATATATAAACCGATTAATTAGAACTTCGTAACAATAACAGTATTATTAAGATTTATAATTTTATCGTTTCAATCTTATCTTGGTTGTCATGGATGAGATTATCAAACACTTAAAATAAGCTATAGTATCAGATATAACTGAAAATCTTGTGAAATAAAATACCGTTCACGTTCGAAACTTCTACATCTTTTTGTAAGGAAAAAAAATCGTAAAATATTAAAACTTTTAACTGGTTGTGACGTGTACGCTTGATCAAGAGATCAGAGATTTGAATTTTTACACGTTAGAATAGGGGTGTACATTCAACTCGACAACTTGGACTAACCCAACTAGAATTATAAGGGTTGGTTTGGATTGGATTAGCGTTTTGGGTAGAGTTGAGTTCATTTTTTTTAACCCGAACTTAATTGGTTCGGTTTTGGGTTGGTGGATAAAACCTTCTATGCAAGGCATATACATTTTTTTTTAATATTATTTTGTTTAGTTTAGGGATCTCTAATATTGCAATTAAAATATTTTATAGTATTTTTATTTTTGTTATATACAACTTCTCTAAATCAATTATTTTTATTTTTATGGTTTATTTAATTGGATGATCTATCCATATAGTTTTCTTATTTTAATCAATTCTCAGGAAATATCGATATTTAGCCGTCTTTAATTTAATGACAATGTTGAAAGATATTAATATATTACAATTTTTACTGTTTATTATTATTATTTTTTATGTGAATAATTATAGATCGATTTGTATTTATATATGGACTTTTAATATATTTTATCTAATGTATTCGAATAATTATAAATGGTGGATAAATAAAGTTTTTTTTTTTTTTTGACAATTGGACAACCCAACTTAAAAATAGAAGGTTGAGTTAGATTGAATTGTGAAAATTTTATGAGTTGGGTTTGATTAAAAAAATCTCTCAACCCGAACCATAGACACCATAATAGAAGTGGTTCAACGAGTTTAAATCCGAATTGAAATAAAAAAATTTCTCACCCAACACAACTCGAACTATGTACACCCCTGCGTTAAATAATACAAGAAAGTCTATCCAAATTTATTTTAATTTCTTAATCACAATTATTCTATTGAAAAAAATAGATGAAATTAAATGAAAGAAAGATTATAACACAGCAATTTGATTAATTTGACAAAGACCCTTAGATCAATTACAATAATTGGGAGGACCAATAAATAAATACCATGAAATATGGTGCCATTTTGTAATTAACTAAATTAAAATTGTACATTAATTGAATTTTTTATTTATTTAGAATTTACCCCTAAATTATTGAAACATTAACCTATCTGCCCCAAGACTTATTACTATTTTTAGAATAATTTTATAGCAAGACCTACCCTATCTCTCTATCTAAAAACATCAACAATTCCCTTTTCTAGAGTTTTTATTTCTATTATTTATTTATTTAGGCTTTTGATTAATTTATTTTTTGGTTTTAAAAATATCCAGTCCTATTTGTAACGATTTAGTCATGATAAATTTTAATTGTATTAAAAAAGTCATAAAAATAAAATTAATTTCTTTATGTTACAAATAATTATTTTTATTATTATGATTTTAAAAATTATTTTTATGCTACAATAATTGATATATTATTTACTATTATTAACCTCAAATAAATATGTTCTATTTTAATGGAAAAGAAGAAAAAAATTGAAAGTTTAAAATTGGAAATTCAAATTTACAAAATATTAAATTTTTTAAATTCTAAGTTACTTCGGGTTCAAGGAAGACGGCTACAATGAGACTGAGAGTTTTGAAAAATTGGACAAAATAGGTAGAATTTGTATCTAAAGATTATGATAGGCGTGCAGATTATCGAATTTTAGCCGGACTGTCGTCTGGGAGGAAAAACGACTATCAAAATTAACAAGACATTAGTTAGTCCTTGATAATCGTAGACATAGTAACCAATCTCAAGCACTAATTGAATTTAAGTTGTATGGGTAGTTTAGTCCAAAAATCTTTGTATAAATTTGGTAGAAAAATCTTACTATTACGAGTAATAGGTGAAGTTTGAAGACGACATTGATCCAGAGTTTGGTTGACATTGATCCCTCCAAGTGCGGAGGCGCTGTCGTTATTGAAGACCTGACAAAGACACTGTGGTTGTGAGCGAACGACGGTGGTCAGCTGCGAGCAACAGCTCGGAGACGGGATCGAGGAGTTGGCGGTGATGTAATTGAGGCAAGGGGAGAGGCTGATCAATACATTGCTACAATGGGACTTGGAGAGTGTAGCAAATTTATTTGGAGAGTGTAGAAGGCAGATGAATGGTGGGTTTTTTTGGTGAACCAATTTTCCTACATGTTTTTAACGAATCTCTTGTCAGAATTTGGTTGGTGAGCTCATGTTTCAGCTGCGTACGGAAGTGTTGGTCCAACCTCTTACTCGCTCGAGTGGTAATGAGAAGTGTTTATATGATCTTGATAATCTGACTAATCTGTACGTTTAATAGTCCAAACCCATCGCTAGGGAGAAGATATTATCTCATTTAGATTTTCTTTTTCTTCCCTTCAATGTTTTTAAAAGGCATTTGCTACCCGTAGGTTTCCACACCCTTATAAACAATGTTTTGTTCTCCCGTTTTCTCCTAGTCGAGGTGGGATCTCACAATTACTCATAAAGATTGGGTGGGTTAAAAATTTTTCGGCTTGTGTTGGGGTTGAATTTTTGAAAAATCGAAAACTAAGGCGAATTTGAGAGTTGACATTTTTCAACAAAACCAACCCTACCCTATCCTATGTTTAAGATAAAATGAAGAATATTTGACATTTATAAGCAATGTTAGTGATGCATTGTGGCGTGTGAGTGTTTGATATTTGAGTTTTATTAGATTTTAGTTACTAATATAATATGTACTGTGGAGAAGTATAAGTTTTCTAAAAAAAATATAATTAAAAAACAACCCGACAACTTAATCCAACCAAAAAATAGAGTCGGGTTAGGTTGAGTTGTGAATTGTATTTGGATTACTGAGTCACTAATCCAACTAACTTGAAACTTGAGCTGGTCTAAAAGATTTTTCCAACGTGAAGTCAAATAAATTGTTAATCTAACCCAAATCTTACGGGTAATATTGGGTTGATCGAACTTTTCAAGTCACGAACGTTTTTAGTACTCATAGGCCAATCATGAAGCTACAAAATTGGTGCTCCTTAACAAATCCAAATTCAACTAAAAAACAAGCTTATAAACATGCCACCTCTCCAATTGCCACCCACTTCCACATGTTTGTTGCAGTAGTTGAGCTCCAAAACCAACCCCCTCATCAACCCCTCTCCAAAATTTGTCTCTCTTCTCTATAAATCCCCCAAACATTCCTCTGTTTCTCAAGCAGAGCACCAAATTCAAGTTCAAACAAACCCAAAATGAAGCTCCTTGGCCCCTTTCTTCCACTCCTGGCCTTGGCCCTGGTGGCTGTTCTTCCGGCGAATGGCCAGACCAACGCCCCATGTACTGCCTCCATGCTCTCCTCCTTCACCCCTTGCATGAACTTCCTCGCCAACAGCTCTGCTAATGGCACTTCCCCGACCGCCGACTGCTGTAATGCGATCCGATCACTTGCTAGTGGCGGCCGGGACTGCCTCTGCCTCATCGTCACCGGAGGAGTTCCCTTTCAAATACCCATCAATAGAACTCTCGCCATTTCTCTTCCTCGCGCTTGTAACTTGCCTGGTGTCCCCCTCCAATGCAATGGTATGTATGATTCTAATTATCTGAAAGTTTGATGTTTTTTCATTGTGTTGTGAAATTTAATGATCGGGGTTCCTCTGTTTCAGCCGCTGCTGCCCCTGTTCCTGCTCCAGGTACCGTTTTTTATCGTTGAGATTTTCAGTTCTTCCTCCTGTCAATGATCAAGTAATAATCATGTTTTTGAAATGAACAGGCCCAATTGCTCTTGGACCAAGTTTCCCGCCGGAATCTTCACCGTCGGCCAGTCCTCAAGGTAATGAATAGTCTTGCTTCTTCGAATTACTCTGTTTTTTGTTCTTCTCTGAAAAACTTGGCTTTTTGCAGCGCCGGAACCCACCACGCCGGCTCTTACTCCGGTAGCTGAAACTCCATCTTCTCCGTTGGTTCCTGAAGCGGAATCTCCGACGGGGACGGCCGGAAGCCGCCCGGTTCTGACTCCCTCCTCCTCCGCCGTCCGATCAAACAGTTTTCCTTTCCTGTTTCTGGGATTCGTATTTGTAATTTTAAAATTCAACTGAGTGTTTGATGGATATTGTTGTTCCTCATGATTTCGATTTCGTTTTCTTTTTTTTATTTCTCTCTTGTAATATAATTGTTATTCGCCGGAATTTGATTGGAGTTTTATGATTCTGTTTTCTGTTGAATTTGTCAAGGGTATTTTGGGGAATTCACTTGTTCTTCCCGCCATTTTCACCTTTAAATAATCGTTTAAGAGGGACTTCAACGAACTTGCTAACAAACTAAAAGCCGTGAAGAAGAAATCTCTTGATTCTTCCATCTCTGTAATTTTCTTGAGAATTCAGAACCTTAACAATGGCGGTGTTCATTAGCGTCGTCAAATTGTTAATTGCGATTCTCACCGCGTCGATGGTGATGGTTGCGATGTCGCCTCCGACTAGATGCACAACCAGAGAGCTTCTCTTGCTTTCGCCATGTTTGCCTTTCATCTCGGCTCCACCGAACAATCTTTCCGATTCAGTTCCCTCGTCGTGCTGCGAGGCGTTCTCTTCTGCCTATGGTTCCGGTGGCGGAATTTGCCTCTGTTATTTTCTTCGTGACCCTCAGATTTTGGGATTCCCGTTGAATAATACGAAGCTGACCGCTCTGTCTTCGATTTGTCCTCTCAGTGATGGAACGCATTTGGAGAAGAATAGTTCTCTAGATTCGCTCTGTTCTGGTATGAATTCGAAACCATTCTTCCCTCTCTCGCTCTGTCGTTCTTTATTGACTTCTGGAGTTGCTTGATTCTTGAACTTCCTCGGTTTTGATCTCGGATCGTTGATTCCAACGATTCTTGTTTTCCAATGGTTTTATCGGCAATAATTAATCAAAGACTGGTTAATTTGAAAACTAATGTGTTGTTTGTTTAATCAGCTTCACGAACTCTGCCTCCTCTTCAGAGCTCGAAAATTCCAGGAATCCAAGAGCCGGATAGTCCTGGTAATTGTCTTCTGATTTCTTCTTCTATGAATTTCATCAAATCTGGATTATCAGACTAAATAACCCTTTCTTCAGCAAAGGATGCAACAAGAATCTATGTATCATTATAATCACAAACCTAGAAAAGAAGCATGTTTATTTAGTAGCGATTTGTGATCGATGGCTGACACTATTTTAACGAATACTACCTTCAACATTTTAACGAATACTACCTTCAAATGTTTGTCTACAACCATGTAGCTGAGGAGAACACACCGCCTCCTGCGGTGGCCTCACCACCCTCTACGCTTGTGTCACCGCCACCGTCTGCAGATGAATTGCCGCAGTCTCCTTCATCTGCTACAGCAAAAGGTTTTTCAATGGCAAGAGATTGTATTGGCTTATTCTTGACAGGTTCACTCTTCCTTCTCCACATTCATTCATTTTTAGAGCATTTTTCTGATATTCTTTGCATCCTTTTGTAACCATGGTGTAGAAATCTGGATCAACAGGAGCTTATGTCTATAGAATGTACAAACATGCTACAATAAAACAAATTATAAATCTTCTCCTTGTTGACTAATAAAGAGCAACGTTTTTATTGCTTTCCTGTTCTTGGCATGGAAATTTTCCAGTTTTGCACTGCTGATAAATGATCACTTCTATACATTCCCTGTGAATCTGTAAGAACAGATGACATCCCGCTAGACAATTTGTAGATTAGATTAAGAAGCTCTTGAACTAAGAGTGGGGTATATCAGTTATGCTTGATTTTTGAAACCATAAGGTGTGTCCAAAAAGTAGAAACCCTGTAGGCCCACAGGATAAGGCTCGCTATGGGTATCAAGGAGAAGATGAATCTTAACTTCAAATATTGAATCCATTTTCCTAAATCAAACCTGTCTGGTAGATAAAGGCAACTCAAATGGCAGACAGCACATAACATTTGTATACAAAACAGAGGAAGAAAATGTCAAAATAAAAGCCATGTTCTGCAACAATGTCGAACTCCTCAAACTGGAACAGCTCCAGTATCTTTAATGGATTGACGCCACGCAACCTCTCGTGCCCCATCCTTGTCTACAATCTTGATCACAAAGTTTGGTGGAGCTACAACTAGCCTTGAACGTATCTCAACGATGCACTTATCGACCAAGTCGATTGCTTCCTCAACTGACATGCCGCTATGGTAATGCCTATCCATCATAGAGAGTGAAAAGTAGGATCCATAACCAAAAGCACCTTTCTCAACCTTGTGAAGCGTCGCTATGTAATCGATGTAGTAAAGCGATGGACCAGTTTCCTTATCATAGCCAGCCAGGAGGACGTTTACCGAGTATGGATTCTGAAAATAGACAATGGTAGGAGGGCCAGTAAGACCCAATAGTAGTAGTTGCACAACAATTTCAGGAGAAATTGCAGTGTTATATAACAACAAAATAAGCTATTGAAAAATTTTACTAGCGGTTCAGCCTAAAAGCTCCTAGGAACTAAGATATGATATTGTGAGATCCCACATTGGTTGGGGAGGGAAACGAAACATTTATAAGAGTGTGAAAACCTCTCCCTAATAGATGCTTTTTAAAACCGTGAGGCTGACGGTGATACATATCGAACGAAAGCGGACAATATCTGTTAGCGGTGAGCTTGGTATCTATAAACCCTAGAACAGAGAAGTTATGGTAACACCTGTCTGTGCACATGGACATTCTGAACTAGGCAGGGTTAGATGTTTCTTACTGGAGAAGAAATCATGATAAGTTAATCAACAAAATAAATAAATACAAGATGAATAAACAAGATGCCAGCCCTTTATTTTTCCATCATTAAGAACATTCCTCCAAGAACAGAAAGAGAGCTGCTTCAGAAAGAAAGCCCAAAACAATTTCCTATTTTTATGTTAGGTTCTAGTTCTACCATCTCAACCTATCATCATCAAGTAGCCAAGCCATGCCGAGAACGTACAAGTACGGTCCAGTCCATACCTGCTCTTAACAATTCTACCAAAAATTTTACCATTTAAACCACCCCATCTATCAAATATTGGGCAAAACCAATACATCTTAATGGCAATGCAGAAACACCAAATTATTGAGTCCAAGCAATATGCTTCCGAATCTTGTGGCTCACTACACTCTCACTGTGAAATCCCACATAATTGGAGAGGGGAACGAAGTATTCCTTATAAGGGTGTGGAAACCTCCCTATCAGACGCGTTTTAAAACTGTGAGGTTGAGAGTGGTATGTAACGGGCCAAAGCTGTTACACTCACATTCATAATGCAAGTATCAAGAAATGAACAACTACCCAACAGCCTATGTATTTTCTTACCTTTCTAAATATCTCATTAGGGAAAAAGATGTGAATGCTAAAGAGGTTCGCACATTAGTTGGGTAACTGAACTCTCATAAGAAAATAGACTCAATCCCAAACATTCTTCAGCCATAAACTTCCAAGAGAGACAGGATAGCAAAAAGCCTACAACTTATAAATGTCACAAGATAAAAGATTTGTTCGCATCCTCATAGAAACAACCACCAACGACTCATTTAAAACTCTCCTACTTAACACTACTCTTTGCTAATCTGAAAACGTAAAAAAACATAAAGAATAACAGCAGAAAGGAGATAGTGTTTGAATTTGCTTCCTTCCTAACAAGAATAAGAACCCGCCTGGCCCAAGCCACCGTTACCATATATTGTCCTCTTTGGGTTTTCCCTTCTAGACTTCCCCTCAAAATTTTAAAACATGTCTACTATAGAGAGGGTCTAGCCATACTCCGACCACGCACCGTCCGGTGTCTGGCTCTGATACCATTTGTAATGGCCCAAGCTCACATCAGTTGGAGAGGGGAATGAAGCATTCCTTATAAGATTTCTTATAAGGGTGTGGAAACCTCTCCCTAATAGATAGGTTTTAAAACTGTGAGACTGACACATGGGCTAAAGTGAGCGAACAATATCTGTTTAGCGGTGGATGGTGTACTTGGGCTGCATAATGCAATTTAAGATTTACCAGGTAATGATAGGAACAAAGAGTTCTGTGAAAGGAAGAAATCAAAAGTTCTCTTGACGAGGGACCAAACCCTTGAATTCAAATTCAAGTTAATTATGAATTTGCCACCCCAGAGACAACAAGACCAGAATTATAGTATGGTGAGATGAGGGCAACAAGATTCCATCCCACAAGCCCGGAGAGAATCAAAAACAGGCAAAAATGGATCCCCCAAATGCCCACAAGAAACCTAATTTTAGAAAATACATTTCAAAGAACTAATTATGTACCTTTCTCAATGCAGTGGCGAGCTCGCCACGAGTAAAATTAGCAGCAGCAGCAGTTGTCAAAGGGATCCCATTTCGGAACTGATACAACGCGACATTCTTCTGGATGTACTCGGTGAACTGAACCCTACAATACCACAAAAACACCAATCAAAACCCCCAGATTTCTGAGAAAACCAAATCATCTGTAAAAGCTCTGTAAATCAAACCTGTCACCAGGCTCGCCGCTAGCAGCGACGAGCTTGTGAGTGTCGAGGACCATAATCTTGTCCTCGTTGGATTTATGGACCAAGATGCTGTGTACCGCCGAAGAATCGGCCGCAACAATGGTGAAACCATCACCCACTAGGCCGAAAACACATTCCATAATCTTGTTCTCTAGAATTCACCACTCTTGGTCTTCGATCCTTTGCCTCCGATGAAGCCCTTCTCTTTCTCTTTATAGAAATATGGGTTTTCCCGATCGTAAGCTCTCACAAAGTGCAACCGGCAGCCTACTTGAGCAACACGTTGTCTCGTAAATTCTGCAAAAACTGTGGCGATTTGTGAAAGATGTTTTCGTTTCTTAAGCCCAACCCACGTTTAGACTTTATGGGTTAATTTATTTTTGCATCCCTATTCCTTCAATTTATTCCAATCTCCATTAGAAAAGTAATAATAATAAAATAAATAAAAGTTTTAGGGTGATTTCTTTACTGTCTGGGCGAATTCCATCACTTGTCTCGTGTCTCAAATCACATAGGGGAAGTCTATTTATCCTCTTGAATTGAAAGGGGAAGCCTTCTTATCCATCTCCATCTGCTCGAATGTATACATTCCGTGAATTGAAAGGGGAAGCCTACTTATCCATCCGCCCCGCTCCTCTCCTTATTAGTGCAGCCTTAAGGAGTGTCTAAGTACAGTTTACTCGCATTAATCCATCAAGAACTTTGTTGCGTTTTTTAAACGGAGTTTTTAATATCGACTAATTAAAAAATATATATAAAAATAAATTTTGAAATAGATTATTTTCATTTTGAAATATATATAAAATATATATAATTTATATTAAAAATATATAAAATATCATAATAAATCAAATAATATGAATGGAGAAAATAGTTTCAATTTGGTTCGACACTTTTTATTTCTTGGGGGGCAAGGGTACAAGAAGAAGAGAGAATTCAAATCCTGAATATTTAACCTAAAACCAAAGAATTGAAGCATCATCACTACACAGATTCAAATTCAAATCGAACTGTGTCTAACAGAGTTTGTCAAGAAAAACAAACTCCAAAAAATTTCCATAACGTTAGGCCTAAACTTGATGACAGATTCCCCAGTTGCACCAGAGGTTGAGGTGCAGCAGCAACGGCTGAGAAGAACACAGGCTTTACAATTCACTGTGTCCATTCATTTGAGTTTGGATTAGTAAAAGAAGGGAAGGAGGGTATTGACTGCAGTATTAATTTCCGACTGATTCGAGTCGATGGCAGTGGCCTGAAATCCCCCTGTGGTGGAGGTAGACCAACCCTCTTACTGTTGGGAGAAACGTTCTTAACACCACCTGTGCCAGAAGGGCATTCATTAGAAACAGTTTCTGGCATCACATCCTCACAGGGGGTGGTGGTTTTCTCAAACTTGGGCGGCGCCTCTGTTTGAATGATGCCTTGCTCGTCGAGTTTGAATCGAACGCTCAATCTAGAGGAGGATTCGTCGTCAAGGTAAGATGATGGAAGTCTCCTCTTCAAATGGAATGGAAGTGAAATCAATGACCTGAAAGGAGCAACATTTTTATTCATGTTTGTCGTGAATCTCTTACTAACTTAAATAGATTGATTGCTTACCTGCGTGGTCCTAGTTGAGTTGAAGGAGCAGTGTTGATTGAGTTCTGCTGGCCTTCATCACTCTGTGCTTCTGCATTTTTTTGGCAATGTTCTCTTCCTTCTTCCTCTTGTTGAGTTTCAGTTCCTATTAGAGCTGATTCTGCAATCCAAAGAGAAAGTATTGACTTCTGAGTAGCCTACAAGTGAAAGCAGTTTAAAGTCCTTTTCTTGTTAACAAAGCCCTGTATTGTGCTCTCAATTTTTTACAAATGCATTTTATGTTACTCCCATGTCTAATGAATTTGATTGGTACGTATCGTCGTCTACCTCACGGTTTTAAAATGCTGTCTGCTACGGAGAGGTTTTCACACCCTTATAAAAAGATGTTTCGTTCCCCTCTCCCATCGATGTAGGATCTCATAATTCACCCCCTTTGGAGGCCAGTGTCCGCACTGGCACACCGCCCAGTGTCTAGCTTTGATATCATTTGTAACAGCCCAAGCCCACCGCTAGCAAATATTGTCCACTTTGGCCCGTTGCGTATCACCGTTAGCCTCACGGTTTTAAAACGTGTTTGCTAAGGAGAGACTTTCACACCCTTATAAGGAATATTTTGTTCTCCTCTCCAACCGATGTGGGATACAATCCACCCCCTTGGGAGCCCAACATCCCCGTTAGCACACCGCCTGGTGCCTAGTTTTGGTACCATTTGTAACCGCTCAAACCCACTGTTAGTAGATATTGCCCTCTTTGAACTTTCCCTTCTAGGCTTCCCCTCAAGGTTTTAAAACATGTTTGCTAGGGAGAGGTTTTCCACACCCTTATAAAGAATGCTTTGTTCCCCTCTCCAACCGACATGGGATCTCACATTGGAAAACATACCAAAGACTAGCTCAAGTTTTAAGGAAAGGATAATATACTCATCCTGCTGAATCAGGCGATCCTAGTATATCCCATGAGAGAATGTTGAAACAGATGCAGCAAGCAGAATTAGATGATAGATGGGCGTTAAGAACATCAAGGTATAATCAAACTCACCATCTTTCCTCCCAAATCCGTTTTTACAGCCTTCACATCTGCAGTTGATGGAGCATCCAACGCCGCCCTTTTTTTAAGAAGAAAAGCACCAAGATCAGTTCAGATATGATGAACAAACAACACACCAGAGAAGAACAAGACGAAAGGAAGTAATCAAATCAAATCACCTGATAGCATTCGCAGTATTTTTTCAAGCAATTTGATTTCTTACAGTTGCATCCTCGTTTATGTCGAGCCGAAGCTGGCGTCTTGTTCGAATCCTCCTGCAACACAACTTATCAAGATCAAACTGCCAGACACAGCAGTGGCAAACATTCAAGGCATATGATCTCACCCCAAGTTCAGAAACAGAATCAGAGTTCAAGATCACTTTAGGAGCAAACGCAAGTGGATTGCGAGATTCAATCTGTCTGCGAGTGTCAAGAACCACAGATTCATGTATCGGTTTGTTGAAGCAATCTAGACATGAACACGCCTCAATGCAGTACACACCAGCAGCAAAACATTCACAATATCTGAACGAAATACAGGTTTAGATTGAAATTTTAATGTTATCAGTACTACTTTAAGTGTATAAACTATTGCAGCAATGATAAGAAATTGTCACTTACAGCTTCAGGCATCTAGATTTTTTGCAGTTACAACGTTTACACGCCCCATTTCCAGTAACTTCCATCGATTTTCTACAAATCCAATCACAAATCATTAGCTACACGCGACTAATCAGAATCCAGAGAATACATAAACATATTCTACTTCGACGTACCCATTCTTTATAGGGTTGATTTGATTGAAATCTTCTCCGATCAGACTCGCTGGTTCTTGAGGGTTTTCACTTTCAGGAGTGGATGAAGCGAATAGGAATTGATCTTGGATGGAATTTGATGTAAAAATGGCGGCGGAGGAGCTGGAAAAACCCGGTCTCCTTTCGGAGCACAGATTCTCTGAATCGGAGTGCTTCAAAGACGATGCAAGATCATTCAAGTGCAAACCAATACGAGGCAGAGTGCATCGAAATGAAGAAGAAGAAGAAGAAGAACCGCGGATTGAACCATCGCCGGGCGCTGCCGCCGCCGCCGGGAGGAGCATTCCCGCCATTTCGAAATCTAGGCATCGTCTCGGCATGTTCCCGCCCTGTAGACTAGAGAGAGGCTGCACAATCCCAAGTTCACAAACACAATTCCGATCAGCCATTTTCCTTTTTTTTTTTGAGAAAAAAATCTCAAAATTATAGAAATAATAATTTGAAAATTCATTTTAAAATGCAAAATTAAAATTTTAAGCATATATAAAGAATTTTTATTTTATTTTAATTATTTTATTTTGATCCAAAATTTAAAAACTTTATATAAAGACTATATTAACAATTTATTACAAAATCTCGATATCTATTATACCAATTATTATTTTTTAATTTTGAGAACATTCTTATAAATAAAAAAAAGTAAATAATTAAACAAAGAAAAATCATAAGTTGAAAAAAATGTATTACTTTATTTCTTTTTGACCACCGTCAATTAATATCTCAATGAATTTCTTCTTCAATATTCTTTTAGGCTTTTAAATAATACTTTTCTTGCTTTATTAGCCATTTTTTGAAAATATTAAAAAAAGAAAAAAAAGTACTATTTTTCAAATTGAAAATACCATAGACTTGGTTTTTTTTTAATTTAAAATTTAAATGTTAGTGAAAAATAAAGAAAAAGCAAAAATTATGTTTGAATTGAACCAAAAACATTGTCAAACATTGTCAAAAGACCAAATTTTTTACCTTGTTCTCTGTTGTACTGTTCAAAACGTCGCCGTTTTTAACTCCATAAGCCTCGCCAGCGCCGGAATTGACCATTTCCGGCGGCTGAACTCTCGGAGTTAAGTCGTCGCCGGGAGGAATTCCCGGCACGAAAATCTCAAGTAACTGATCCATTAATATAACCGCTCCTTTATTTTTGGAAACTGCAGGCGGGGATCTCGATGCGTTCGAAAAATTCGGCCTGTAAAAATTAATTATTGATTAAAAAAAATAAAAACGAAGCAAATCGAATTGAATGCAAGTGTGTTTGTTTCTCCTGTTACCGTTTTGGGGACTTGAGAGGACTGAACTGCGGCAGCGAAGTGAAAACTGGAAGGGAAGGGAAAGAAATGGAGTTGAATGTTTGAACAGTATGAACAGATTTAACAGGCTTTATGGGAGATAGGCTGTTGATGAAGTTGAAAACTGGTGAATCCTGCAGTATAATCAAACAATTTCGTTAAATTTAACAACTTTTAAACCAGGAAGAACATGGAGTTCTAAAAACAGAGTATGAACACAGAGTATACCCATATCTCAAATTACACGAGACCCAGAAAAAGAAAAAGAATCCCAATTGAGAAACTTAAAAGAGGATGAAATGGAGTATAATAACCGAGAATACCCATATCTTAAACTACACAAAATACCCAGAAAAAGAACCAAATTGAGAAAATGAAAACAGGGCAAAAATGGAGGTGCAATTACAGAGGAAGAAACAGAGAAACCCATGTTTCAGAAACTCAAAAGAGGGCGAAAATGGGGTTTCTATAAAGAAAAAGAGAATACCCACATTTCAAATTACGCAAAAGAACCAGAAAAAAGAACCCAATTGAGAAACGGAAAAGAGAACAAAAATGGAGATGAATGAAGAACAGTCCTGTAAATGGTCAAATATGAGAAAACCCGGATGGGGAAAGAGTTCATAGAAGAAGAGGGGCTGAGAAATAGACCTCGAATTTGGAGAGGGGAGGCGGCGGCGGCGGCGGAGGCTTGGTGGGTTTGGTCTTCGGCGTGGAATCCATTGTTGAGTGAACTCAGAGAGTGGAGATGAAGAAAAGCAGAGGGTTCGCCATTTGAGGAGTAGAAGAAGAAGAAGAAGAAGATTGAAAAGAAGCGGGAAAGTGAGAGGCAAATTGCAAAGGGTGGGCTGTAAGCAAAGCCCAAAGCCACTCGCTGCAACCCAAATGCAGGGTTCGATGTTGGCGCTCTGTAACTGCAAATTCTCTCACTTTTCATAAAGTAACGCTTCCTTCATTCTCTTTTTAACTCTCTCCTCTCCTATTTTCCGCACCAACCCTTTTTTCTTTTCTCTTTTTCTTTTATTAAATATCGCCCCACTCCCTCCGTACTAAGCTCGTTCGGTCACACATCACCGTGCATGCATGCATGATCTCTTGTTACGGCTCTTACCGACCTGCCTCTATTCTAAGTAAAGTCGTTTGGTTCGATCTTGTTTTTATAGCCCAAAATCCATTGAATAACACTATTGCATCTCATTTCATTATCGTGATTTCTAACATTACAGGCCACACTTCATGATATCGTCTAAAACCCTGAAACACTTTCGACTTTTGTTGCTCACTCTAACCCACTTGTTGAAAATCAACCCATTAGTCAACTTTAATGTTACGGTTACACTTTCGTTTCACGTTTGGCTCTGATACTATTTGTAACAGTCAAATTCCACCATATTATCTGCTTTGACTCGATACGTATTATTGTCATCATCGGTTTCGTTTTTGTTTAGGAAGTGTCACATTTTATAAAAATTTAGAGAAACTAAAATCAAATTATTAAAACCAAGTTGACCAAGTCCTAAAAGTAAAACCTCCTCCCTTTGGAAAATAAAAATTAAAAAATAAAAAGAAAATCTCTGACATGGAGAATGAGTTTGGAGGATAATATCGTAATTTGGCATGTCTTGGGGCTTTAAATTGTCAGTTACGATCCTTGTCAGCATCCACGTCAAACTTGTACTGAAATCGAAAATTTAATTCCGTGTAATTTATGGGATATTGTTTTTAAATGATTGGATGTAATTAATGGTCACTACTAACTAGGAGAGATTGATGATTATTTACAACTAATTCATGCCCTACCTTATAATATATCATCACATTTCATGCATATTTACCCGAACAAATTCGATCCCACCTATGATTGATTTCAAAAATCTAATGACATGGTCACGACTACGTGTTTCGTGTCAATAACATCAATAGAGAAAAAGGGTTATGAACGACAAGTCCCGATATCTAATCAAATTGCACGTGATAGTGGTATTTATAAAGTGTAACGGTTCAAGCCCACCACTAGCAGGATATTGTTATCTTCTAGCTTTCTCTTCTACGCCCTCGCTCGCTGGCACATCTCTAGACTTCCTTCAAGATTTTAAAACATGTCAAATAGAGAGAAGTTTTCACATCATTATAAACCGTGTTTCATTCTTCTCTCTAATCGATGTGGGATCTCAAATAAATATTTGATATTTTTTTGAAAAATGTTTTGTTTTCATACAAGGTAGTCAACGACATTTTTTTTGCAAGGACATGTCTTGTTTCTTTAGACACTCGGTACTCGAAAATTGGGAACTAAAGATTTGAACGAACGAATTCGTATACATATAGTATTTAAATTTATTAAGGAACGTTACTATAGGCATGTAATAACAACTCAGAGATTAATTGGAAAGTGTAACAAAAAGTTTGTTGCGAAATCAGATTCGTAAATTGATATTAAAGCAACCAAATAAATAAATAAATATTAAAAAAAGATTCAGGGGTTTGGCGGGCAGGAGATTTGAAAGGCGGCACGTGTGGGCGTGTGAAGGGTATGTATCCTATTAAATAAGGGCAGGCATCACGTGACCCACCACATTTATTTTATTTATTTATTATTATTATTATTTTAAAGCCGAAACACTAACTCCTACATTTCCACTCCATGCGAATTTACTCCCTCACGTGCTTTTTGTTACCCCATTTGCCAACTGACCTGTTTATAAATAATAATAATAATAAAGGAATGGATTTTTTTATTTATTGTTTAAAGTTGGGTAAAAATCAATTAAAATTATAAATTTTAATAAATAAATCAATTTAAATGATCAGTAATACTATAGAAGCTATATTTTTATTAATATGAAATAATTTATTAGATTAATTTTTTTAAATTAGAAATAAAATGAGGTTTAAAATAAAAGTCTAAATTGACTGACCCATTGGGCCCTGACTTACTAAGATCAAAGCCCAACTCAGAATTTCATGGCCCACTTTAGCTCCTAACTTATAAATTCGGCCCATTTCAAATAATTTTTAATATATAATTTCTATTAAAAATGTAAAAACATTTTAATAATTGTGAATCAAAACTAAACCATAAAAGTGGGAGTAGAGATAGATTTCGTTTGTTAAAATTATTATACAAAAAAAAAAAAAAAAAAGAGAGAAATTTAAATTTTTTATTTTTTATTTTTAAATATAATATTGCGAATTATTATCGTGTATGAATGTAAGAAAATGTAATTTCGGAAAAATAATAAATAAAAATATATATATTGAGATATATTTGTTTAAACACAATAAAAATAAAATTTATGAGAATAAAAAATAATAATATATAATTATGATAATTAAAAAGTTTGATGATGTAATAATTGGTGTCTTCCACTTAATGCTAATCAAAGCTACGTCGATTTCCAATTTTGTTTTGTTTTCATACAAATCCGACATTATCTTAGCCATCCACGTCATCCAACCCAAACCCAATAATTGAGAGATGAATAAGACCTAAAGTTTGTTCTGCTCGATATTACTTCTAGTTATGAAATGGATAGAAATGATAAGTGTTGGATGATGAAAGTCCACCTCGACTAATTTAATAAATGATCACGAGTTTATAATCAAATAATATTATTTTCAAAGGTATGAAATTTTTTGGGGAATTCCAAAGCAAAGTCCTCAAATGTCGTGAGGAGGTGTTGGATAGTCAAAGTCCCACATCGACTAAAAATACTCTTTCCATTGTTGTGAAGACTTTCGAGCTTATGCTCAAAGTGGATAATATCATACCATTGTGCAGAGTTGTGTCGAGTCGTGTTCATCTAACAACAAGAAGCATTCTTAATATTAAATGTATACCTGAGTTAATTTGATGAAATTTTGTTGTATTGAATTGAGTTGTCAAATTGTTTAAGTTATTTTTATTTTTTTAAAATTACATTTATTCACGACATACCATCTTTAAAAAAATTTAAAACTTGCAATTTCATCGATTCATAGTCAAACCCATGTCAATATAATCACAACAATTAAACATAACTTACTATTTTGTTTGGTTGGCATGCGATGCGGAGTGGGAGAGGGAATAGTGTGCATTAGTGAGCTATAAGCGACATGGGCAAGCGGTGAACAACGTGCGGCGTAGGCAAATGCAAGGGCAACGGTTGGCAGCACGGATGAGGGAGGCGTGCAATGGTTGCATAAGTGAAACAAAAAAAGAAAGCTATGCTTATTTTGGATCAGTTCAATACAGGTTTACCTGAATCTTTGTTCAATTAATTCTAAACTCGAACGGAATCGATTCAATTCTAAAAAAGAACCAAATCTCGTCAGGGAATTTTTAGGTTGGATGAATATATAACCGTTTTTAAAATTTCAAAATTTTATTATAATAGGAATAAAAATAAATAACGTCAATTTATTTAATATAAAATTTAGGTGGACACTTACACGACCTGGTACATTCTCTTTTGCTGTCTATTTCTTTGTGCTATTATTTATTTATTTATTAAATATATATTTCTTAAATTTTCATTAGAATATTTATTATTTTTTTACAAAGTGACAATATTACTCAAATTTTTATAAATATTTCAAAATTGTTTTATAAATAAAAACATGTGAAATTAATCAACAAAAATTTGAAATCGGCTTATGGTGGTTCAAATAAATTATATATAAAAAAGAATGTGCTGGTTCAAATAAAATTATATTTCAATGAAAAAAAAGAAGCATAAACACGTGTCATGTCCACGTAATTAAACAGTACACGTGTCCATCTATTTACAGAAGAGAAATTTGGTTGGATCCTACGTAAACCCACTTCTATTCTGTCCCCACCCACTTTACTTCATTTTCTTTTTGTTGTCTAAAGGTGCCACGTCATATTTATTTTTTAGTTTCTTTTTTTTCTGTATGATATGATAATTATGAGGATTTTTGTTTTACTAAAAGAATCAGGATAATATAAAAAAATAAAAAATAAAAAAGTCACATAACGTCATATTTAAAGGTTTGTATTTATTTTACTAATTTTATATATAGCAACTAAAATAAAATAATTATATTCTTTATATAATATTATGTATTTTTTACAACTCTTGTAAAAAAAATTAATTAAATAATGAAAAGTAAGAGAATAAATTGATGCAAACATAAATTATAATTAAACCATTTAACTTAATTACTAAAAATAATTAAATAAGCAGAATTAACAATAAAGTCTTATATTAAAGAATAGTTAATCGATATAAATATAATTAATAATGTATTAATTTAACTTAATATTAAGTCTAAATAATATAATGATATTTAATAACTACTTAAATAACAAAGTTTCCCATATAATAATATTTTTAGAATTTAGGTAATTATTGAACCAGTTTAGGGGTGTTTTAGTAATTCCGCTCTGCAATCCTTGTATAAAATGGTTCGAGAAACCGGTGGCGTCGGTGCGTATTCTCGCTCGTCTTTCGCTAACAGTCGGAGCAATGAACGAGGCACGTGTTCCGGCGGAAACCACCACCTTCATGACTGATTTTCTGAGACAGTGCGGCGGCTACGGCGTTATAGACGGCGGCTTGGCCACTGAACTGGAACGGCATGGCGCCGATCTTAACGATCCTCTCTGGAGCGCTAAATGCCTCGTCAGTTCCCCTCACATCGTCCGACGGGTACTTTCTTTTATAAATTCTGAGCATAATTAAAATTTATTCTTCTAATTTATATATATATATATATAGAAAAGGAATCTATGCTATGTAAAATAAATAAAAAAATTAAATATATGTATCCGATATAAATTAAATCTATGGTAAATGTCTCTCCTTAATCGATGTTTGACTCTTTTTTTTTTTTGAGTCATTTGTTCGACCTCTGAGGATTCTGTTGACATGACTAAGTTTGGACATGACTTTGATACTATATTAGATGAACACTACTCTTCACAATGATATAATATTGTCTAAGCCCTTATCGCTTTGATTTGTGCTTTCCAAAAAATCTCGTATTAATAGAAATAGTATTATTGGATTATAAACTCAAAATTGCACCGATATATCTCTTAAATTTTTAGACTTCACTTTTTTAAAAAATTAAATTTAACATTAAGTTATATATTAGACTATTAAAATTAGAATAAATTATTTAATTTATTTATTCTCCGGAAGCTTATTTTTCTTTTAATTCTTTATAATAAAGTTCTCATAATTATAAAAAGCTTATGTAAATCACTTTACTTTTTTTCTTTTTTTGAAAAATAGAGCATAAAAACAGAATAATTATCGCATTGAGCTGTATTTTTTTTTCTTTTTTTAAATCACGATTTGCAAATTTAAATAAATTATAATTTAATTTGTTGGTTGTCCATCGTTCTGGGCCGGAGAATGAATGGGCCGTCGTAGGCCCAATATGAAAATAGGGCTCATTTAACCAACAGGTCTCTTGTTCGAACCGTCTCCGCGCCACCTTTTGAAATTAATTAAATTTGTGGTTAAATTGTAAGGTTATCCATAAAATTTGTGGTTGACTTTTTAAAATATCTAATGGACATTTAATTTTTTTTAAGGTTTTATGTTTAGTTTTTTAAGGTTATCCATTAATTAAATTATGGAAGCGTGGTACTCTCTCCTAACGATTAGCAATGATCAGCTAAGCTAATCGGCTTAATATGACAGGTACATTTAGACTACCTTGATGCTGGTGCCAATATCATTACCACAGCATCTTATCAGGTTCTTTTCTTCACCCCATTTCACTGTTTCATAGCTTCTTATTGTTTAAATTTTTGCTACAAATGTTCTTGAATACTTGTTTGGTTATTACTCTAGATTCAAAATGTTAAGAAACCCATGATTTCATTGTGTTTGCAGGCAACAATCCTGGGTTTTGAGGCTAAAGGATTTTCTAGAGATGAAAGTGAAGAATTGCTAAGAAAAAGTGTTGAAATTGCTCTTGAAGCTCGTGAGATCTATCTTGAACGATGTACAAAGGATTCTTGGGATTGGACTGCAAGTGAAAGGAGCTCGACGAGGCTGATTCTTGTAGCCGCCTCGGTCGGCAGCTACGGAGCTTATTTGGCTGATGGGTCTGAATACAGGTGAGCAAAATCTCAGCATAGTCTTAGAATGGACTTCAATGGTTGCAAATTTGAGCTGTGGTTGTACCTTTTTACAGTGGGAAGTATGGTGATTCAGTTACTTTAGAAACACTGAAAGATTTTCACAGGAGAAGGGTGCAGATTTTGGCCAATGCAGGTGCTGACTTGATCGCGTTCGAGACGATTCCGAACAAGTTGGAAGCTCAAGTATGAAAATGGTGTTGGAAACTAGTTGCCATTGTTAGTGTTGGCAGGGTTCCTCCTTGTTTAAGTTCTTTATGCTGTTTATGTGGAATTTGCAGGCATATGCTGAGCTTCTTGATGAAGAGGGCATTGAAATTCCTGCTTGGTTTTCTTTCAACTCCAAGGATGGAATCAATGCGGTGAGTGGGGATTCTATAACTGATTGTGCCTCCATTGCAGATGCTTCGAAGCAAGTTGTTGCTGTGGGAATCAACTGTACTCCTCCCAGATATATTCATGGACTAATCTCGTTGATTCGGGAGGTAAATTCCTCGAATACCCTTTTATGACTTCGGAGTTTGCAAGAGTTGTTCTACGTTCAAGTTGACATAACTTTAATGTAAATTTGAGGATTTCGGAATTAGTGGGTGCACAAATGAAGTCATTTCAATCTCTTGTAACAAGATTTATCAACCAAGTTTTCCATCTGCCTCGGTACTATTAAAGACGAATAGTATTCCTGTAATCACCTACCGCCAGTAGATATTGTCCTCTATGAGCTTTTTCTTCTGGACTTCCCCTCAAGGTTTTAAAATGCATCTACTAGGTAGAGGTTTCGACACTCTTATAAGGAATGCTTCATTCCCCTCTCCAACCGATGTGGGTTCTCACAATCCACCCCCTTGAGGGACCCAGTGTCCTCACTGGCACACTGCCCAGTTTTAGCACTGTTACCATTTGTAATAGCCCACCAATAGCAAATATTGTTCTTTTTGGGCTTTTCCTTTTGGACTTCTCTTCAAGGTTTTAAAACGCATTTACTAGAGAGAGGTTTCCACACCCTTATAAGGAATGCTTCGTTCTCCGAGATCTCACAATCCACCCCCTTAGGGGACCCAACATCCTCGTTGGCACACCGCTCGGTGTCTAGCTCTGATACCAGTTGTAACATCCCATTGCTAGTAGATATTGTCATCTTTGAGCTTTTTCTATGAACTTCTTCTCAAGGTTTTAAAACGTGTCTACTTGAGAAAAGTTTCAACACCCTTATCAGGAATGTTTTGTTCCCCTCTCCAAACGATGTGGGATCTCACAATCCACCCCCTTGGGGGTGCCAGCATCTCAGTGGCACACCGCCCGGTGTCTAGCTCTAATACCATTCGTAATAGCCCACCGCTATTAGATATTGTCCTCTTTGAGTTTTCCCTTCTGAACTTTCTTTCAAAGTTTTAAAACGCATCTACTAGGAAAAGTTTCCACACTCAAATAAAGAATGCTTCATCCCCTCTCTAACCGATGTGGAATCTCACAATCCCCTCCTTTGGGGGACCCAACGTCTTCGCTGGCACACCGCCCAGTGTCTGACTCTGATACCATTTGTAACAGTCTACCGCTAGCATATATTGTCCTCTTTGAGTTTTCCCTTCTAAACTTCACCTTAAGGTTTTAAAACGCATCTACAAGAGAGAGGTTTCCACACCCTTATAAAGAATACTTCGTTCCCCTCTCCAACCGACGTAGGATCTCACAATTCATGTTCGAAAATACTAAGCCATAGCCACCTTTCTTCACTACAAAGGCTTGTGCTAAGCCCCAGTCATAATAATGGACACAAGAGCAGCAGGAGGAACAACATGGAAAGCAGTCTAATAATGGAAAAAGAACATTGAAAGCAGCCCTCAAATATGTTCATATTCTAAGTAAATCTTGTTCTCTAATTGGCAGGTCACTAACAAACCCATTGTGATTTATCCAAACAGCGGGGAGACATATGATGGTGAAACCAAACAGTGGTTGGTGAGTTTTCTACTATTTTTCCTGTGTGTGTTCTTCGAACTTCACGGTTTCGTTCCTTCGTATGCCACAACGGTCGGGTTCCCCCGTCCTCAATCACTTCTTTTATCTTTGCAGCAATCCGATGGAATGACAGGGGAAGACTTCGTATCATATGTAAGTAAGTGGAAGGAAGCAGGAGCCTCTCTGTTTGGCGGATGCTGCCGCACCACTCCAAACACAATCCAAGGCATAGCAAAAGCGCTTTCTTCTAAAGCCTTTTGAGCCGTTTCCCCTTATTAACAAGCTTGGTATGAACTATATCCAATATATCAGCTCTGTTTTAGATTATGGGATGAACATAAATTTTTGTAAATATTAAGGAAAAGAGAGCTGTTCAAGGAATAAGTTGTTCATGTTCAAAGAATACTTGATTTGACTTGGGATCTTTCAATTCAGAGATACATCCATGTCTATGATAAATGATGAAGTTCCCACAAGCGTTTTCATGATGCAATAATTTGAAACTGATAGTGATTGATGGTTTCATTTCTAGCCACCAATTGCAAGTCCTAAGCCCAGAAAGGAACATGAGTAGCCCATATGCTTGAAGACGATAGCAACCAGTACAAGTCTCAAGTCTTTGAGTGGGGATTAAGATATACCAATCTTGTGCTGCTCCCACTTTTGACTGCCTGATTAAATCCTTTGGATTTGGCTTTAGATTCTCTAGGAGGGAAATAGGAGCTTATGTTGTTGGGTTCTGTAACAAATATCATTGATGGCTAAGTCTGGTTGTCTTATTGGGTAGAGCCACGAGGCTTCCATCTATGTTTGAATCTTCTCTTTTTTCATGTAATGTATCAAATAAGTAACAAAGAACTAATTTCTATTGCATGAAGTTGTAACGGTGTGAGCCCACCGTTAGCAGATGTTGTCCTATTTGGGCTTTCCCTCAAAGTTTTTAAAACGCATCTGCTAGAGAGAGGTTTTCACACGCTTATAAAGGGAATTTCATTCTCCTCCCCAACCGATGTCGGATCTCACAATCCACCCCCTTTCAGGGTCCAGTGTCCTCACTGGTACTCGTTTCTTTCTCCAATCGATGTGGGACTCCCACCAAATCCACTTTCCTTTAGAGCTCAGCGTTCTTACTGGCACACCGCCTCATGTCTACCCTCCTTCGGGGAACAGCCTCCTCGCTGGTACATCGCCCGGATATGATTTGTAACGACTTATGCCTACCGCTAATAGATATTCTCCTCTTTGGGCTTTTCCTTTGAGGCTTCCCCTCAAGGTTTTTAAAACGCATCTATTAAGAAAGAGTTTCAACACCCTTATAAAGAATACTTCATTCTCCTCTCCAACCAATGTGGGATCTCATGTATGTATGATAAACGTAAAGATTCCTTAGACATTCCCTATGAACAAAATTTAATTTTGAAGTCAAAAAAGAAAAGGAAGAACAGTGAGGTGTATTCTTCTTTAGTTCTCCAAACATGGCCCAATTTTCCTCTTTACTTGATGTGATTATTCACATAAACACCGTCCTTTAAAGTGCTGTTCATCCCACACTTTTCTTTTCTCTTTCTTCTGAATTCAAATAATCCTCCCAATACCCAAACAAGTTATGAACGAAAATCAATCATTTTAGATTGATTAGACAGCCACCCTTGATATGAAAACCATTACACAATCAAAAGTGTTCGAACCATTTCACAGAATTTTGTATTCATTTCTTGATTGATTTGCAATAGCTGAAATAAATGCATGAAGAAAGGATATCCATATGAATATTGGTTGCTGAGTTGATGAGTATAAATTTAATATGGTGTCCCAGCATTGGAATGTTCCACCATCAGCTCACTAAATTTTGTCGTCAGATTTTCAAGTTTCCTCTAACTGAATTGACCACTGATAAGGCTCAATAATTATGAGCTTTAGGAATAAACCCACAACGAAAGGGACACCCTCTTTTGATGAATGATATGCATACCAGCAACAGTTAATCATAAAAAATCAAACTTTTTTCACACTCATTTGTTCTTTTTTTTTTTTTTACTTTCAAGCATGAACAGATCATATTAATTACAGAAAGAAGTAAAACCTGAGAGACCCATTTGGGGAAGGTAAAAAAGGAATGGAATGGTTAAGTGGGTACCCCATATTCAAGCCAAAGCTTCGGGTTTGTGGCTTTTGCAACTGGTTTTGGTGGACCATAATGGGAAGAAGAAGGAGATTGAGATAGATGCGAACTCGCCTTCACTTCACTGGACCACTGATGTTGAAATTTTTCTTAAATTTCTAAGACTTGGCCATTTTCTCCAAGTTTGTATGCTCTTTCTGTTCTTCTTTTGGTTTGTTCTGCTAATTTGAGGGACAAATGAGTAGAAAACAAGGGAACTTGATTGGATTTCATGTCATTATATTGAACTTTCTGCCATTTGGGGAAGGAAAATCCCAGCTGGGGCTCTCTTTTTCTCAGTTTTCTGACCATAATTCATTAAATTAGAGAAAGAAAACAGAGGAGGAGGCAATGAGGGATGAGAATTCAAAGAAAAGCAAGGTGTTTCACTTTCTTTTACTTCAACAAGTCTTTTCCTCGATGGGTATTGACTTTTGTTTCTTTTGAACTGTTTGATGCAGCTCTCATGGTCCAAGAAAATGGTGACAAAATGGTTTAATATCAAAACTAGAACTGGGAGGGAGGATTATCTGGAAGATCATGGTGTTCATGAAGGTAAATGTCGAACGCCTTTTTGGTAGAAGATTTTGTTGGCTTCGTTTCATTCCAATCGACTCCAATCGACGTGGGATCTCACAATCCTTGTCTATCCATCTCTACAGAGAAATCTAGTGAGAGAATAGAGTATAGCCAGCATGAATGTATGAATATCGACGATCCTCGTATCGTAGACGTACAGAACTATAGGTGTATATGATTCTTTCCTTTTAAACTACAAGTTTCGTCTTGTTTGTTGATCTGAAATTTAATTTAACAACCAGAAGTTTTATGTTTGTTTTGGGAGCAGCATTTTTGTTGCTACATGGAATGTTGGTGGCAGATCCCCTCCTAGTAATCTAAGTTTGGAAGACTGGCTTCATACTTCAGCCCCTGCAGACATTTATGTACTTGGGTATGAGTAGATTTGATGCATTTAAGGTTGTCAAAAGAACTGAAACTTGAAAATTTTATCTAGTTTTAAAATGTTTCAGATTTCAAGAGATAGTACCATTGAATGCTGGTAACGTGTTGGGCGGGGAGGACAGCGGTCCGGCCAGAAAATGGCTAACGCTCATTCAGAAAACGCTAAACGATCTTCCCGGAACAAGTGGAGATGAAGGGTGTTCCTACATGCCATCTCCCATCCCTGAGCCAGTCATAGAAGTTAATGATGATTTTGACGAATCATTGAGGCTGAAGAACTCGTCTTACTTTCTTCGTCGATCGTTTCATACAACTAATAGTGGTGGATCATCGAACCAACTTGATAGAAGATTTAGCATCTCGAATCATGTGATCTTCGACCACCGGTCTAGTGACTACGAGTCGAGTTTCAGATGGGGACACAGGTTAAGTAACTATACCAGGAAAAGTGATTATTGTAGGCAAAGCAATGAATCAAGGCCAAGTGACTACTCGAAATGGGGATCGTCCGAAGATGATGGATGCCATGGGGATTTGACTAGTGAAGCGTTATTCTCACCACCGTTATATAATGGATCCACATCCAAGGAAGACGAGCACGGGACGTCGGGACGTTCACGGTATTGCTTGGTTGCTAATAAACAAATGGTTGGCGTTTTTCTCACGATATGGGTCAGGAGTGAGTTGAAGGATAGCATACGGAACACGAAAGTATCCTGTGTTGGTAGAGGATTGATGGGTTACCTAGGAAATAAGGGATCAATTTCAGTGAGTTTGTCTTTGCATCAAACAAGCTTTTGCTTCATCTGTAGTCACTTAACCTCAGGACAGAAACAGGGCGATGAGTTAAGAAGGAATTCTGATGTGATCGAGATACTGAAGAAGACTCGGTTTCGGTCTGATCGAGCCTTTCCTCATCAGAAATCACCCCAAACGATCCTCGAGCATGAGTGAGATTCTTCTCTCCAGTGTGCATTTGATCTATTCATGTTTTAGTATCATTGTAGTAAGTTATGTGGAGAAAGTAGACGTAAACGTCACGAACCATGCACACCTATGTTCAACGTCGTTCATTCAATTTGATGTTCTTTATTTGTCTACCGACACTTCGTTTATGTATTTTTAACTATGAGTTAATCTTCCAGTCGAGTTATCTGGTTTGGGGATTTGAATTACCGAATCGCTCTCTCTCACCGCTCGGCCAAGGCACTTGTTGAGATGCAAAATTGGAGAGTATTGCTTGAGAATGATCAGGCATGTTTGTGTTTGTGTTCTTCCTGTGACATGTGGTTTTGTGATCTAAATGCTTTGTTATTTAAATTGTTCCCTCCATTGCAGTTACGTAATGAGCAGATTTACGGTCGAGTCTTCGTTGGATGGAACGAAGGCAATATATATTTTCCACCCACTTACAAATACTCGAATAATTCAGACCAGTACTCCGGGGACGGTATGTACTGGAAGGAGAAACGTAGGACTCCTGCTTGGTAAGGATGCAACTTTAGTGCACCAAGAACAACTCCTCCTTGAGTTCTTATATCTGTCTGTTAATTTTGTGAAGGTGTGATCGGATTTTGTGGTATGGGGAAGGTCTCCATCAGTTGTCGTATGTTCGGGGTGAGTCCCGGTTTTCGGATCATAGACCTGTTTATGGCTTGTTTTGTGCTGAGGTAGAGTCAAACCGTGGCGAATCAAAGAAAAACATGGGTGGTAGTTCTAAGGTTGATGTGGAGGAGCTCCTACCATACTCTCGTGGATATACTGAGCTGAACTTCTACTGAAAGAGTGTCGTGAAACAGTAATGCACTGCAGCCATGATGCTCTTCGAACGGTTCTCAGAAAGCTTTCATGTCCAGAAAGCGGGACGGTCGGTATGTTCCTCTGAATGCTGGTTTTCTTTTGGCTTACTTCTCTTCCTTACTTATCCTTGCTCTTCTCGTCAGGTGATTGGTTTCCAACAGATCAAGACCTCAAATAATCAGAACTCCATGTGTTTTCTGTCCCAAATGAAGAACACCCAACATATTTTACAGAGTTCCAACTTCTTTGCAGGTATGGTATGGTTTGTACCATCGTTTTTCTTAATATGAATCAATAGATTGTCAGAATGCAGCTGTAATGGTGTGCTTTTGTATAGGTGATTCATTGGTAGATTATGATGATCATGATTTTATTTTGGGCTAAAACTCCAGCCGGAGATAGTTCAGGCATTCTGAAACATATGAAACAAGGTTTGAAGAATGATCTTGAAATTTTGGAATCTTTGGTACAGAAGAAACCGAGCCCGAGCATAAACATATCTCGGTGAAGTAATACTTCGAAAAAGTTAGAATTTAACTCAAGTGAAGATTTGGTCCATGTAATAATGATTAGCCAAGTTATCAATGTATCGAGTTCATGACATTTTAACTATATGAATTTTGTAGACATAGCTTCAACTAGTAAATATGCAATCTACAGACTAAGATGAAGGTTTACATCAGAACTCGGTTTGGGCAGAGAGGGTCATCACTCATTCTACGATGAAAGGAATTTGCAGATTAGAGAACATAAAAAGATGAGAAAACTGTTGAGAATTCTCATGAAAATGGATTTACTGAGATAGTCATCATCCCTCTGCCTAAATAAGACAAGGATGGCACGAGATGCCTAATCACTTGGAAGGGCAAAAGATTTTGAAACTTGCCAAACGGCATTCATCAAGTTCAAAATCACTCCAATGACACATGCAATGACAATGGGATGTCAAAATAATGCAAGTTCATACAGCATGAGAATGCTTCACAAGCATATTAAAATGTTTGCAAGGAATAATGCTCAGTTTAAAAGCAGAAAGTACTTTTCATAGTCAAAATCGATGATTATCTCTGATTTCTCAACTTGGCGGAAACATGACACGACTATAATATCTAGAAAAGGGAAAGGAAAAAAAAAATTAAAATCCACAGTTCAGTCGTAAATATAAGATAAATTCAAGAATCCATTTTCAAGCACCGACGACTTCGGTAGCACCCTCGACAACTTCTTCTGCAGGCCTATCTACCTTCACGCCAACATCTTCGGAATAGTCACCATGAACCTATATAAGTCAAGAAAAAGGTTGGTTGCTCATAATCAAGAGTTTTTGCAACAAAATTAATTTGAACAGGCACAAGGTTGAAGAGCAGATTTAATAATTGATCTATGAATTAAGGAGCCAAAATGGAAGGTAGAATGATAAGTAGGCAGATTGTATACCTCCATCAACTTTCCAAGATCAAACTTGGGAGCTTTCAAGATCTTGACCTTCCGAATGAAAACATTCTGTAGAGGGTATATGCTAGATGTTGCCTTCTCGATTTCCTTTCCAATTGATTCAGGAATAAACTTACGGACCAACTCTTTCAGATCACATGATGTTGCCTGGTTGACCATGATCTCCCTCATCTTTCGACGAATCTGTAATAAAAAACTATAGTTAACAAACACTATGATACAAGTCTTCAACCTCAATCTCGTTCTATGTCCTTCAAAATCAGGCTCGATACATAAAAACATATTTTTTGTGACAATAACACAAAAACACAGATAAAGGTGCACAGCAATGTTAGATAGTAGCATAAAATAACATTCAGAAAATGAAGTACTTGATGTTCTTTTCGGCATGCACTACTGAGTTATAAAAGAAGGTAGACTTTGAATCTGGAACCTCTATTTTTTTTTTATCAAAAAATTACAACGGAGTAAAATACTACAAGGATAAAATTAGCACTAAGAAGATACATGGCTTGGGATATATAACCACAGCTTCGCATCTAACAACCCAGCTGAACCAAAATTAAAGTAGCATCAAGAAGGTAATGGCATGCTAAAGAAAGGTCTAAACAAGTCACCCAACTAAAATTGGACGGCAACTCCCAAATAGCACCCCAATGTGCAGTGCCTAGTTCATACACTAACTAAAGCATTGCCAGTTCGTTCACAACAATGTACAAGAAATGACCCCTACATGCCACTGTTTAAGATATATAGTTATCCAGAAGGCTGAAAGGCTTTTATAATTCGTCTATAACTACTAAATTCAGTCCGACCTTCACAGTAAACTCAACGTAGAAACGTAGATCAGTAAAAACTTTAATTTGGGAGGAAAAAACATGCAGTCACCTGTCTAATCTGACTGGATTGCGCATAACAGGTTCTTTTGACCTGGTTTGGGCGTCTCTTTGTGAACCCAATGCAGAACATTCTCAGAGTGTAACTATCAGTGGTCTTAACATCCACATGAGCTTCAATCAACGTATGCCACTTCCGTACCAATGATCTCAATTTGTCAGTAGTGAAATTCATTCCCTGTAAAACAAAGGAATCTTATGAGCATTCTGGAACTCAATAAACCTTAATATTTAGTCAGAACATGAAAGAACCCACTCATACCCAGAAATTAGTCAGAACATTCCTTCCTTGAACATCTTCAGCTCTCAATCTAATCTTTCTGTAAGCGTGCTCCTCATCGTCCTGGAGATCAGCCAGTGATACCTCAAACACTCTATGTTTAAGCCCCTCAGAAGCAATCTGTTGAATTAACCATTATTATTAATATCATTAGCATCTTAAAAAATACAAACATGATGTAACAGTATCAACCCATGAAGACAAATAATTGCCATAACAATCTACAAGTATAATCATACAGTCCAGAATCTAACATCAAAGCAGTCGATCCAGAACATCCAGAGTGGTGAGAATACTAGGCAAACACCCCATCTAATGCTAATTAATGGTTTCGTCAGTACATTCTACGTTACTGGACCTACACTTCTTTCCTGTACTTATACAAAGTGTCAAGCTCTCGAACACGAAATAACATCCAGACGCCTTCGTTTTAGAGACAATACAGTGACCCTTCATAAAACAAGAGTGTTCCACACGAAGATTGCAAACGAAGGCCATTACATAGTAGAATTTACCTTGGTACCCTGCGTGCGAGTAACGAGAGTCTTCCCGACGTTCTTGACATTGAAGACAGATGGTGCCTTGATATCATACCAATCCTTCTTTGCAAACGGATCAACACTAAAGAATCCACACAGAAACGAAACCAAATAAGTTAATCTCCATAGATTGAGTATCATTAACTATAAGAGAACAATTGAATTAAACTATAACACGATATTAGATACCCAGATCTGTTCTTTATGTTGGAGAAGAAAATACTTACGTCTTCTTCTTGCCTCCCTTCTTTCCTTTCGAAATCCTCTTGTTCTTACTGCAAGTAGAAGAAAAATAATGGCATCAGTGAAGACCCTAAAGGGGAAGTAGGCGACAGAAGAAACAGAGACGAACGGTACCCGACAGCCATGGCTAGACTAGTTGAGAAGCTTGGAGAAACTCCAGAGGAAAAATAAAAACCAGCGAGAGAGAGACGGCCGTCCCCAAAAACCCTAATAAGGTCTGTTTAAATAGGTCCTCGGTTTTTTCTTTTTTCTTTTTCTTTTTTTTTTTAAACAAAATTAATTGAGGATGTTAGGTTTGCTTATCCAAATTTATATTTGTTAATTACTTGCATAAATAATAATGATAATAATAATAAATTAATAAAAATATTTTAAAATTTTCAATTGGTCTAAAAATAATAATTCTAAATCTTTTAAACTTTCAATAATATCTTTAAATTAAAAAAATTATAAATATATTTACCAAATTATAATTATTAATATTTTATTTTTAAAATGTTTTTTTTTAACTCTAATAATTTTAAAAATATTTCACAAATATCATTCATTTTTTTAAAAAATTTCATTAACCTCCTTAAACATTTTTTTTCTAAATCTTTTTTAAAAATTTTAATAATTTAAAAAGTATTAATAAAATTTTTTAAATTAAATGATATTTTAAAAACAAAATAATGGATTCGGTATGGTTTGATTATAAATTTATAATCATTTCCTAAATTGGCAGATGTGAGACTTTCATCATCCAACACTTTCTGAGACTCGACTAAATTCTTTGTTTGACATCTGAGGATTTACACTTTAAGGTGACTCTCCATAGTGATATGACATATTGTCTATTTTGATCATAAACGGAGGCTTTGCTTTCAGCTCCAAAAAGGTCTCCGACTTCATCATCATCCAATAGATTCTATCCAAAAATAACATTAAAATATATATATATATATATATATTTTGTAAAAAAATTAAAAAATATTATTAAAACTTTTAAAATTTACCTCCATTTTTATTAATTTAGCTTTAAGAAAATGAACATAATTAAATAAACAAAAACAAACTTGATCTCGAATTTGGAAGGAAGAAGACGACGCCCCAAGGATTCTGCTCTTTCTATTTGTGTAGTTTTGTTCGCGCCATCAATTTTCAGTGCACGTAATTTGAATAGAGAACAACAATGGCGGAAGCAGCTACAGGTTACAGTGGGAGAGGGGCGGAGCCGTCGCTGAAAGACAAGGGCAATGAGTTTTTTAATGCAGGGAACTATCTCAAAGCTGCTGCACTTTACACACAAGCTATCAAACTAGACCCTTCGAATCATGCTCTTTATAGGTATATTACCCTCTCACTCTCTCTTGCTTGATACAGCTTGCATAAAAATCAGAATATTATTCTTATTGGGTTTTTTTTTGCACTATGTTATTGATTCAGACAATTGGGATTGGATGTGCACACAATGTTTCTTCCAATCTAAGGATGTTATCTTAGTGAAGAACTCAAACTTTGATCTCCCAGTAGCTTATCGACAAGATGAGGTTATAAAATGCTTCTGTGGGTTTGCTCTCTATTCAAGATTGTTGGGAGAGGACTCCCCACATCGACTAATTAAGAGGTTGATCATGGGTTTATAAGTAAAGAATATATCTCCTTGGGTAAGAGGTCTTTTGGGAAAATCAAAAGCAAAACCATGAAAGTTTATGTTCAAAGTGACAATATCATACCATTGTGGAGGTTCGTGATTCTTAGCATGGTATCATAGCCATGCCCTTAACTTAGCCATGTCAATAGAAAGTTGTGAGGCTCAAAGGTGTAGCCAAAAGTGACTCAGGTGTCGAACAAAGGGTGTACTTTGTTCGAGGACTCTAGAGAAGGAGTCGAGTCTCGATTAAAGGGAGGCTCTATGGTGTACGTTGTTTGAGGAGAGGATTGTTGAGGATTGTTGGGAGAGGAGTCCCACATCGGCTAATTAAGAGGTTGATCATGGATTTATAAGTAAAGAATATATATCCATTATAACTAAGGAGTACATATCCATTGGTATGAAACTGGTTTATAAGTAAGGAATATATCTCCATAGGTAAGCTTTCATCCTCAA